TTCTTTTTCAGCAATTTTTCACAAAAATTTCGCACAAAAAATCGTATTTTTTGTGCGACCTCTTGATACAGACCGCCATTTTCATGTTATGTTTATTACTACTTTATTACAAGTAGTAATAAACTAATAAAGTTATTAGTAAACTAAATAAAGTTTACTAACACTATTTTATTAAAAAGATTATCCACAAACAAATTACAACACTGGCATTAAAATCAAAATGAACTATTGTGAACCAATTTGTTGAAAAACTATTATATAAAAATAGATTTTAAACTACCTATATTTAGGCTTGCTTTCCAAAATTAATAACAATCTTGTTAAATAAACTAAAGAAAAAATGTAAAAAGACGACTAAAATAAGAATTATGTCAGCATACTGAATAAAAAAGTTTTAATTCCAATTAATATTATGTGCTGAGTAATGGCATTAGTTTTTTGAATACTATTATATGTCAATATAAACAAAGGTGTTTTTTTTGTCTAGGTACGATTCGTGTAGTAGATCTACTCGTATACTATTTAGTAAAAAAAATTATAACAATTTTTCAACTATTAAGTTTGATCGTTTTTAGATCAGTACTCAAATGTTCGCAAAACTGGAATTATACATACGAGCCCAGTCACATGTGTACTCGTATTGGACCAGTATAGTTGTATATTTCCGATAGTAGTAGTTGTACCTATGTTTCCAAATTCGGTATTTATTTTTGAAATACTTATTGCTTCTATAAAAGCAACTAAGGCCCCCCTGCACAATTAACATAAACGTAAAATTAACCGCAACCACAAAGATGGAGTATATGAAAATAATGTTCTTGTCTACAACTAATTCAGTTAACATTAGCATTAAGAATGACCTTCAATCGTCAATAACCGTAAACATAAAGATGAAATTATTTTATCTTTACGCTTAAAATTACGTTTTGCCAGTTATACCAACCTTGTGTCTGTACTCTCGTGAAATATGGGTTGAGGGTTACCCTAAATACAGTAGTAACTAACACTAATTAATAATTAATTACTACAATATTAGTTAACAATTCGATATCCATAATTTCTTCTAATTCCAGTGTCGTTTCTGATTTTTCACACAAAATGTTTAATTAAGTGAAATTGGCTAAACTGAATCCTATATGCGGGAGTTTTAAAATATACACGATTTTACGCAGATTTGTTGTGGACAAAACATAAAAATTACAGCTAAGCTTATGGTTATGGTTGTGGTTAGCTCAATTGTGCAACAGGACTAACTTTATTTGATACTCTGTGGTGTTAGCAATTAATAACACATATTCACTATTTATTGCATTCGTTAACAGTAACCCCGAAATATAAAGTTTTTATAAATTTCAGTCACGGTCAAGTCAAGACCGCGGGGATCTCCTAAATCTCAAACAATGCTTTCATTCACATTAGACGGGCACGGTCAAGTCAAGACGCGGTCAGGACCGTGGCGATCATTTCTGGCACGATCAAGACCGTCGAGCTCGCGGTCTGCTTGCCCCTGCCTGTTCAATGTGAATTAACCAACGGTCATGTCGCAGGCAAGAATGGACGAGCAACGCATAGAATTGGCCCTTTTTTTACGTTTTATCAATATAGGATGAACCCAATATCGCCGATGATATTTGGAAAGTAAAATTTGTTCTGCCTCGTCCAAAATAATCGCCATTTTCATTAGCGTATTTCGAAAATACATGATCCCTGTGGGCTCTGCTATCGTACTAAGATCGTCACTTGACCGGCAAGTGTGAATGCCTTGGAAAAATCTTGCTCGTGACCTGACCGTGACTGGACCGTGACCGGCACGTCTAATGTGAATTGGCCTTAACCACACGCCGTGGGAATAGAGAGGCTAGGTTATGCGTGGCTCGGCGAGTTGTTTGCTTCCTTGTCAGACTTTTCCCATTTACAAAACGTGAGCTTGCCAGTATCCGTAGCGTTTTGGACGTTTGGACGTAGAGAGCACAGTATAGATTAAATCTACAGTCGCAACTTTTAAAGTGGACTGGTCAAAAGACCTCATTTTAGACTTTCTGAAGCTGTACAAGCAACGATACATTTTTATCGAATTTTTTGTTATTTTTTGAAGAATGCTACACCACTGAAATCTTATGTGATTGGGCAGGACCATGCTGTCATATTCAGATAATCAATTTCACTTGGAGATTTTTATATTTCGAAACTTATTTTTATATATTGTAAATTATCCAGAAAATAATTATCGGTTGTCACAATAATTTATACAACAGAATGACTTGAATTAAATATTACGAGTATACTTATTAATATACTTAAATTTATGTTGTTATGTTGTTGATTAACTTTCCAATTTTTTTCACTTTTCTAAGATAATATCAAAAGTAGATTCAAAAGTTTAGATATGTTTTAAAATGTATAATATAGTGAATAATGAATTGAAACACACATTGAATAATATATATACATAACTAATAAAACATAGTGATTTTTAAGCATACTACTATAGAGACATAAAAAAAAACGTTATCAAAGTTGGCCGAGAAAAAAAGACGTATTTCAATTCTTAATCGAATTTATAACCTTATTTACTTGTCAAAACTGTCACATCATACGACAGCCATTGTTTATTTTACAAATTGTGACAGCTACTTGTCAAAAGTTTGACATAACCGAAAAGCTTAGACATGACCGCTATTTCCATCTCTCTCGTTCATAGCCAGAGTTGATGACGTTTTTTTGGATGTCTATATTTGTTGCAGTAGGTACTGCCTATTACTACATTGGCGTCCTTTTAGACACATCATAATTCATTTTTGTATTAACAAATAGTACAGGGGAAGAAGGAAGTATGTCAGTCCAAGATCGATAATGAGATTGTTATGCCATATTGTAGACAAAACTTTGAGCTGTATACATTGTTTTGATGAAAAACGCGTTCAGTCAACAGCTATATGTATTCAAAAATATGTTGAAAAGGGCAAGAAGGTGGAATGTCTTCGCGTAACTATACAAAAAGGCGGAACGTCAACTCTGTCGATGTTTTGCGTCACCTCTTCATGCAGTGTACATGAAGTTTGTAATTTTATTTTCACACCGCAGCTGCCCACTTTAATAATTTAAATTTTAGTTTAACATGTACTTGTTTCATGTAAATGTTTGTGTTGTGAGTATTTTTTTTTGTAAAATGTACCTGGTTCATGTAAAAAAAGATTTTATTAAAGTAAGCTTTCCGATAAGGGGCCATTCCTACATAGAATGCGATAAAAATTTCGACCTTGTAAATTAAAAAGCAAGCGTTGAGGGGTTGAATGAATGGGTTGAAATTTTTAATCTAGAGCAAAGCCTACACCTATTGATGTTGTTGAAGTTACTCTAGATGTATTTAGAGACTGGACATTTCACTTTTCCAGTTTATATAAAAACATTGGTCCATTGGCCAAATGACCTTAGAGAAATTAAAGTTCTCAAAGAAGACCCATAGTTATTTTACTTTCGAATATCTTCGACTGGAAGTTGGTATTCTGTGGTTCTAGTTAATTCTAAAAAATGAAAACGGTATCGGACATTAAAAATTGGACATAATGAATTTGAACTAACAAATACGCTTTATGAAGGTGCATATAAGAACAATGCTATGTTTTGTAATTACAAAAATAAAATTTTGTAGAATTACTTTCAATATCCATGGAAAAAAATAATCTTCAGTGCCTCAAAAAATTTTGTTCAAACCTGTTCAAAGCTGTCGAATACCACAATACTCAACATTACGTCACGTAGAAAAAAAAAGCGGTGTTACCAAAAGAAAATAAAAGAAAACCCTCATGTCACATTGAATGAGACTCTTCATAAGAAAAAAAGGCGAAAAAGAACATTACACATAAATTCCAAAAGAAAAATGTTTAAAATTGTTTTATATATTTTTTTGTTTCACATAGATAGTAATAAATTTAGAGTAGTTAGTGTATTTTTATACGGAAAAAGAATAATACCAGTTTGTTGTAGTCTTTATTTTAGTTATACAGATACTCTTAATAAGGCAAGTTTGTTGACATTCCCCCTTCTTGACTGTTTTATTTTGCAGTCATAGTAATTTTTTAAAAAATTTAGAAAAAAGTACTTATATACAAGTTTTTTTTTATATAATGATTCTTAAAACTACATAAGATCAACAATTAAATCTGTACATGACACTGATTATAATAAAGGAAATGACGACGTCTTAAAGTATAAAAAACGCTCTCTTGTAAAATGCTCTATTCGTGACAAATCGTCTTCTTCCCCTGTACCCTTCATATGTATGTACATAAACAGGATCCGTGTGACAACCAAAGCGCAGCTATTTATAGCGATCTTATCGCTGTGAATAGATCATAATAACCAATAGACATACATATGTGCAGTGGCGGTGCTTGATATTTCAGTTAGCCATATCTTGAAAACGACGCATGGGACCCACTTCACTTTTTAGGTGATGACTATACACCTCTTATAGAAAGGATTTATAGTGAAAAAATCGTCAGCAAAGTTTGCGAAAAAAATTTCAAAAACACTGGAACACTCCCTGGGTTCTCAGTAACGCTCTGTGGGATATTTACAGTATATTTTTTTTTCATAATCTAGAAACAAATATAAGTAGACGTTTTTCGATTTGTTGCAAAATATTTTTTTTTTCAAAAAGTTATGGCCATTTTAAATTTTTGGGAAATGTTTCCCAAAATAAAATGGCCCTATAACATTAAAATAAAATCCCCCCCCCCCCCCCCCCCCCCCCCCCTTTTTTTTTTTTTTCCCCCCCCCCCCCCTTTTTTTTAATTATAATTGATATCAGTGATGAAGTCATCACCTAAAAAGTGAAGTGGCTCCCATGCGTCGTTTTCAAGATATGGCTAACTGAAATATCACGCACCGCCACTGCATATGTGCATATTATTATGTACATTAATCATCGATAATACCTGTTGATCATCAACTGCAGTGTAATCTAAATTTAACGACATAAAAAGTGATATCTATATGTCGGGTTCACCGAGTGGTTAAGGCGCCAGATTTAAGCTCTGGTTCCCGAGAGGGAATCGTAGGTTCGAATCCCTCAGCTGACAATTGATGTTATGTTTGTATACGAGGTGTGTAAATTAAGTAATGGGACTGATTTTTTTATTTTTTTTATTCGAATAGAATTACAATTCAGTATTGTCTCCCTCAAAATAACTTCCTTGGGAAGCCACACAGTGCTGGAGACGGTTCTTCCATTCCTCATAGTAGTGCTGGAACTCATATACTGGAATAGCCTTCAGCTAGTCGGTTACAGCCGTTTGAATGTTTTCTATGGTTTCAAAATGACGTGCCTCGAGATGATTTTTTTAGTCTCTGGAAGAAAAAAAGTCTCAAGGACTAAGTCAGGCGAATAAGAAGACTGAGGAGACACAGGAATATTTTACTGACTAAAAACTCGTTTACTGAAATGGCTGTATGACAAGACGCATTGTCGTGATGCATCCAGTTTTTCTTGATGTTTGGTCTCACACGCATGACCCTTTTTCGAAGTTTTTTAAGGACCTCTTTTATTCTTTGGCCGGAGGCACAAATTCTTCTTGGACAATTCTCTGGCTATCAAAAAAAGCGAATCAGCATGCATTTGATCCTCGATTTGTTCATTATTGCTTTTTTGGGTTTTGGAGAGCTTGAAGTGTGCCATCCCATGTTTTTTCACTTGGTTTCGGGGTCGTACTCAAATACCCAAGTCTCATCACCGGTAATGACACTTTCCATAAAATGGGGATCATTTTCAATCGATTCCAAAATGTCAAGACACCTTTCTCTCCTGTCCTTCATGTCCTTTTGTTCCTGCGAAAGGTTTATTGGAATCATTTTTGCGCAGATTTCTGTCAGCCCCAGATCGTCAAAATCTGATGAACAGTGGCGTGATTCAAATTTAATTCTTCCTTGATCATTCTTGTTGTCAACCGACGATCTGAACGCACAAGATCCCGTATTATAGCGACATTTTCATCGGTTTTTGAAGATTAAGGTTTTCCGCTGCGTGGTTCATCCTCAATCGACTCTCTTTCTCGAATACATTCTCCTTCTCAGAATGCCTTCCACCGAAAAACATGGGCTTTTGAAAAAATACTGTCCCCATAGGCGTATTGAAGTTTTGCAAAAGTATCCGTTGCGCTGTGGCCAAGTCTGGAGCAAAACCTGATAGTACACCGTTGCTCAAAATTAATGTCACTAATTTTTAAAACGCACTAGAAAAAAAAATCGGTTTACGACAACAGTCACAAAGAACAAACAAATGACTCTTAACATGTTCAAATTTGTACTGAAGGTGCATTACATGTTAACCCACCGTTCCAAGATACCCTTAAGGTACCGTTCCAAGTCCCGTCTCCGCAGTGTTGCTAGATCGGACATCATGTTGCCAGTCATATATATATATGATTGAGCTCAACATGCCTTATACGAATGTCACAGGTTTAAGAGATACGGGGTGTTCAAAGTGTAAATTTTATTCTGAAATTCCTCAATATTTGAAAATGGTAGTTTTATGTCATTTAGAATTACGAATTTTAAGCTTATTTTGACGTTGCTCCTAGAGGGCGCTAGTTTCACCGTATTATTTAGGTAAATGAATATATAACATATTTTTTTTTATCTGTTGAGCCATGCGAAACAGGTCGAGAATCTAAAAGAACGCTTAATTATACAGAGAAAGGATACTCTTGTTTAGGTTTGCATTTAAAAGGTTCTATATATTTTATTATGTTTTTTTTATTCTTGAAAGATGAAAAGGTATGGAAAAGCAATCAAAGCAACAGTAAATAACAATAACAATTATTAGTAATAGTGATAATGACAAACTTCAAATTACTTCAATCAAATGTTGGAAGTGTTCACCACCTACATCAATATATTTAAAAATACACCTTCGTAAATGTCTCTGAATGTTACAGAATTTCTTTATTATTTTTAAATGTATTCGCAGCTTCTTGTATTTTCTGCTGCAACTCCCGAAGAGAATTAACTTCTTCCTGGTAAACTAAATCCTTGAAATTTGCCCATGCAGAGAAGTCCAGAAGGTTTATAAAATTTAAACTTTGAACATGCTGTATCTCTTAAACCAGCGACAATGGTATAAGGCATGCTGAGCTCAATTATAATATTTTGGTGTCTAGTATCTCCAGTTTAGTGTTGGTCCATTTTTTCTGTATGACCCTGTATATAAATATACATATGTAAATTTATATATATGTATATTTTTTAAATGGATCTGAACGATACGCGAATAACTCATAGACATAGAGGTACATAGAAAGCTTTTTCATGTCCATAGTGTCTAGTGTAATATTTGTTAATTAAAACTGAAAAAGAGAAAAGGATTTTGAAGTGCAAGTCGATTTTATCTAAGCAAGTAGCACAACACATAATTTTAACTATTATGGCGCTTGTTCGTCCCTTCAATATTCTTTGTAGCATCCTTGCACGTTTTTTTAATTTTTTTTAGCAATAAAATTAGACACTTCACATTGTGACTGTTGTATTATTTAATGAAAATATTCAGTAGACGAGTTAGTACATGGTGCACATCGTGTAGTACAATGGTTTAAACGGTGCATCTATCAAATTAAATTGAGATAAACGCGAAAGTTTCAAGAAAGTTATAGGATTAGTTTAAAAAGCGATGGTAGCATGTGATAGCGATGAAAAATAATTTCATAGTCGCTGTTCTTAGAGACATTTTTCCATCTATTGATGTTTGTAAGCTGTTGCTATTTGACAATGGACTCTTATTGAATATTCTCTCTGATATTTACTCACTTCATAAGTCACAAACGTATATGATCGACTTCTGGTTTTGATATTTGGTAAAGTGGGTCTAGTTATAAGAGACGTCTTTAGTCTCTCAAGTTCTTCATCACCCAGCATTCTAAGTACCAGTAAGTCATAATTCTGTTTCTTACTTCTCGTTCAATAAAAATCAAGTGAGATATAATTTCAAACGAAAGTTTCCCTTAATGTGCCATTTGGTCCTCGAGACAGACTCGTTAGTAATAGAAACAAGCCGCAATGTGGACGATGCGTATGACTTTGAATGCGTGTGATTAAAAAATGAATAATATTCTAGAAACTTCTATTTCATGATTTAAAGTGAGAAAAACTAGCAACCCTCCTTGGTCAATAAGGAAATTATCGATAATATTCAGAAGAACAGTGCTTGAAGTAATTTCAAGAAATATAATATAAAGTCACATGTCGACGAATTTAGGATGTTTAGTATCACCTGCTAGCATAGGTTTATGCAATGAATCTACTGTGACTAAGCTTTCATGCATTACTCAAGTGACTGCTGATATACCAGATAACCTTCCTTATTACAAAAATATAATTTTGTTTTCCTAGAAATAAAGCATGATAGTTGCTAGTAGGACTAATCTACTAGTCAAATCGCCTATTTATATGTGCATATTTTTTAATAACAACACCCACCTATGTGATATGAATTATTCTAATTCATATTCTTCAATATATGCATTTTTTTATTATTAATTTTAAAATGCTGTAAGTTATACGAACATACTCCTATATTTTTAAAAAAGTGTAAGATAAATGCTCTTTTTATTCATGTCTTGGTTAACAACGGTTTTCTTTAAAAAAATGTAGATTTGGTTCAAAATGCCAAACCCTTAATCACAGCAAAAACCTGTTACGTTAATGAATTTTACTTTAAAAAATATATGGAAAACCATTGTAACAATATCAAAATTATTCGAATTTTGGCCGCTAGGGATGGTTAGAAATGGTTGTCTTCTTAAAAAATCCGCTGTAACTCAAAAACTAGAAATGGTATAAAAAATCTAGTTGGCTCTGTGAATTTCTCTCAAAAAAGTTGTCGAGGTATGCGAAAACCGCATCTTCATATCTTCTGTAATAACCTAGATACCTTAGAGAAATATTGAAAATGGGACACCTCGTACACATGTATGCGTATATTAATCATCCGTAATACCTATTAATCATCAAATGCAGTGTTATCTAAATGTAGTGATATAAACTGATATCTATATGTCGGGTTGGCCGAGTGGTTAAGGCGCCAGTTTTAAGCTCTGGTTCCCGAGAGGGAATCGTGGGTTCGAATCCCTCACCTGACAATTGATATTTTGTATCCCTGAGATGTATTTATATTTTTTAAACGAATCTGAATTATACACAAATAAATTGGAGGTACTTACAAACCTTTCTCATGTGCATAGTATCTATAATAGTATAACATTTTTGTGAATTATACCCATAAAATAGAAAAGGACGTTGAAGGACAAGTTGATTTTACCTAAGCAATTAGCACCACATGTACCTAATATGAATTATCCTAAAAATTCAACTGACACCAGTTTGACCCTAAAATAAGTCTTTTTTAACGTTCTTGCATGGTTTTATTTTTTTAACAGCTATTCACATATACCTATGCTAATTTCTGTACATTTTTTTTATGTCATATAGAAGTGATATCGTTTCACGGTATTAATAAACACGTTCTGGGTGTTGTGGTTCTGAATTTTGGATATTTATATATACAAACTTTTTTCAATATAAACATTCTAAGACTATTTGCTGTATACAACAAAATATGTTAGGAGTAATAAATAACAAGATACAGTACTTAAAATTAGAAAAGTTGTGCCGCTGTTGTGTAAAGTTGGCACTAAGAACAGTAACATTGGTACTCACTTTACTGAAATTATACAGTATCTAGTCATATAGGTGTAGGGTGTCCGCAAATGGAGTTAACGATAGGTGCAAAAGGTAAAAATATTAGTTAATTAATCTTAGTAAAATAATCTTCGTTACAAGATACATAGGTGTGAATCGAGTTTATATTATTCGCCCTTTTGGGAATCAGCCTTGCTTGAGTAGAGAGTTGTTTATGCCTTATTTTTGTTTCTAAAAATCAAGCCAGCCATGAGATACACATGTCTTTGAGATTAAAAATTACAAATTTAGAAAAATCGCTTTATATATGAAAATTTCGAAAGATGCTATTAAGGAAATATGTTTAGAATTTAATTCATGTATCATATTTAAGTCGATATTCCACAAGTTA